GTCGCTGGGGGGGGTCGGAGAGGGGGAGGAGAGGAGGAGGGGAGGAGGAGGAGGAGGAGGAGGAGGAGGAGGAGGAGGAGGAGGGAGGAGGAGGAGGAGAGGAGGGGAGGAGGAGGAGGAGGAGGAGGAGGAGGAGGGGAGGAGGAGGGGAGGAGGAGGAGGAGGAGGAGGAGGAGGAGGAGGAGGAGGAGGAGGAGGAGGAGGAGGAGGGAGGGAGGAGGAGGAGGAGGAGGAGGAGGAGGGGAGGAGGAGAGGAGGAGGAGGAGGAGGAGGAGGAGAGAGAGAGAGGAGGAGAGAGGGAGAGGGAGAGAGGGAGAGAGGAGAGAGGAGAGAGGAGATAGGAGGAGGAGGAGGACGAGAGGAGAGAGGAGAGAGGAGAGAGGAGAGAGGAGGAGAGGAGAGAGGAGAGAGGAGAGAGGACGAGAGGAGAGAGGAGAGAAGAGAAGAGTGCGAGAGGGAGAGAGGAGAGAGGAGAGAGGAGAGAGGAGAGAGGAGAGAGAGAGAAGAGAGAGAGGAGAGAGGAGGAGGAGTAGGAGGAGGAGGAGGAGGAGGAGGAGGAGGAGGAGGAAGGAGGAGGGAGGAGGAGGAGGAGGGAGGAGGAGGAGGAGGAGGCGGAGGAGAGAGGAGGAGGAGGGAGGAGGAGGAGAGGAGGAGGAGAGGAGGAGGCAGGAGGAGGAGGAGGAGGAGGAGGAGGAGGAGGAGGAGGAGGAGGGGAGGGGAGGAGGAGGAGGAGGAAGGAGGAGAGGCGGAGGAGGAGGAGGAGGAGGAGGAGGAGGGAGGAGGAGGAGGAGAGGGGAGAGGAGGAGGAGGAGGAGGAAGGAGGAGAGGAGGAGGAGGAGGAGGAGAGAGGAGAGAGGAGAGAGGAGAGAGGCGAGAGGTAGAGAGGACGAGAGGAGAGAGGAGAGAGGAGAGAGAGAGAGAGAGAGCGAGAGAGGAGAGAGGAAGGAAGGAAGGAGAGGAGGAGAGAGGAGGGAGGAGAGAGGGAGGAAGAGGAGGAGAAGGAGGAGGAGGAGGAGAAAAAGAAGGAGGAAGAGGAGGAGGAGGAGGAGGAGAAGGAGGAGAAGGAGGAGGCGGGGTTGTCCCAAGATGGGGCTAGCTCGAGAAGGAACCCAGCTCGATGCTCACATCTATCTCTTGCAGCGGCCGCTTGGACATTCGACGCCACGTAAGAGTGGCCTTTCGCCGAAGTGGCCTGTGGTGCGGGCCAAGTGGGGCACCCCGATCGCTGAATGCGATGCGGCAGCAGCGGCTTGCGCGCCTGGCGGTGTCCCCACAAGGCCCTCCCTTCGGCCGCGCACCACAGGCCATCCCCTGAGATCCGACGTCGTGTTTTTTTCGCTACAGGGTCCCCAGAAGCCTCGAGCCATTCCCCAGGACCGGCTCGTTATCCTGAGTCGTTTTTTGACTCTCCTGGGGCCCAGCGGGGGCCCCCAGAGGCCGGAAACAGCGAACAACCTCCAGCTTTGATTTTTTCACGACATTGGATCTCTGGGGGCCACTCCTGCCCAGGGTCCCTCTTGCGTGTAGCCGACGGACCGGCTCCGGCGGGCGGTTGGGGGGGGGAACATTGAAAAAAACACACACACATGAAGCCCTTACCCACCCCAACCCGAAATTCGGGTCTTCGGGTTGGGTTGGGGTGGTCTGGTAGGTAGTCAATTAAAGGGAAGTTTGCTAAAGGGAGGCCTGTCCACCGCCGAGAGTGGTCCGACCAGACGCCCCCCCGCCTCATTGGAAGGTTGCCGCCTCTGCCGCTGGCCCCAGCGAGAGCACGGGGGTCGTTGGCGCGGAGTGGTAGCGGGCCTTCGGTGGGGCTTCCTCTGGAGCAACGAGACGTGAGTGAAGAGAACGACCCTGACCTTCCAGAGAGCTATTGTAATGGCCTCCGGCCAGTGCCGCCGATCCGGGGCGCTCCCGATGCGTGTGGGAACGGACGATGACGACGACGACGACGACGACCGACGACCAGGTCAACGACGGACGATGATGACGACGACGACCGACGACGACGATGACGACGACGACGTGGACGACGACGACGACGATCCCCGGTTTCTTGGACCCCCCCCACCCCGCTTGAGCTCGACCCCCCTCCCCCGTCCTCGCTCGAGCGTCCTCCTTAGACACCCCCCCCCCTCGCTTGAGCTCGACACCCCCCCCCGTCCTCGCTCGAGCTCCCCCCCCCTCCCCCCTCTCGATTCTTGGATCCCCCTCCCCCCCGCTGCCCGTCCCGGTGGACCCCTCCCCCCCGCTTGAGCTCGACCCCCCCATCCGTCCCCGCTCGAGCTTCCTCCTTGGACCCCCTCCCCCCCGCTTGAGCTCGACCCCCCCCCTTCCTCGCTCGAGCTCCCCCCGCCCTCGATTCTTGGACCCCCCCCCCCCCGCTGCTCTCCCCGGTTTCTTGGACCCCCCCCCCCGCTTGAGCTCGACCCCCCCCCCCGTCCCCGCTCGAGCTTCCTCCTTGGACACCCCCCCTTCGCTTGAGCTCGACCCCCCCCCGTCCTCGCTCGAGCTCCCCCCCCCTCTCGATTCTTGGATCCCCCTCCCCCGCTGCCCTCCCGGTTTCTTGGACACCCCCCCCCCCGCTTGAGCTCGACCCCCCCCTCCCCGCTCCCCCACCCCCCCCCCTCGAGCTCGACCCCCCCTCCCGTCCTCGCTCGAGCTCCCGCCCCCCCCCATTCTTGGACACCCCCCGCTGCCCCCCCGGTTTTTGACCCCCCCCCGCTTGAGCTCGACCCCCCCTTCCGTCCCCGCTCGAGCTTCCTCCTTGGCCCCCCCCCCGCTTGAGCTCGACCCCCCCCCCGTCCTCGCTCGAGCTCCCCCCCCCGATTCTTGGAGCGTTCATTGAATTGCGTGGATAATTCGCCGGATCCCGACACCCCCCCCCAGAGCGAAGCTTGAGCGAGCTCAAGCCCACGCTCTCAGAAACTCACACGCCAGATCGGCGGATGTTTTAGCACCTGAGGCCTAAAAACCTAAAAAACTTAACGAAACGCCCTAAAACCAAGACGTAGAATAGCTTTGGGACAGGTGTTTAGGTCGGGTGCTATTTTTTAGCCCCCCTGGAAGGTCAGGGGATGCAGGGTGGGAGGGGTGGGGCTGCCAGACACGGTGAAGGTCAGGGTGGGAGTCAGGGTCGGTTCCGAGCGAGAAATTGCAGGGCGGGGGATCCCCTAAACAAGACGCACCAGGAGTGCCCTGGAGGAGGGGGGGTGCCAGGCGCGGCGGTGGGGGTCAGGGTGGGGTTCAGGAGCGCTTCCGAGCGAGAGAGGTAGAGTGGGACTCAAAGCAGACGCACCATGAGTGGTCTGCAGGGTGGGGGTCAGGGAAAGTTTGGAGCGAGAAAGTGTGAGCGGTGGGCTTCAAACCAGACGCACCAGGAGTGGTCTGGAGGGGTGGCTGGAGGGGCAGGGGGGCCGGACGCGGTAGGGGTCAGGGTGGGGACCAGGGTCGGTTCCAGGCGAGGAATTGCAGGGTGGACGATCCCTAAGGGGTCTGGAGGAGTGGGGGTGCCAAACACGGTGGGGGCCAGGGTAGGGGGCAGGGTCGGTTCCAGGCGGTAAATTGCAGAGCGGGGGGTCCTTATATCAGAAGTCCCTGGATGGGTGGCGCTACCAGGCCCGGTGGGGGTCAGGATGAGGCGTCAGGGCCGGTGCTGGGCGAGAAACTGCAGGGTGGGATCCCTGAATATACATATAACGGCGCACCTGGTCTGGGGGCCCGGGGCCGGGACCACGACCGCAAATGTGGGGACCGGGGGCTCTGGAGGCTCGTCGGGGCTTGCCGGAGGCCTCCCCGGTCAGACAAGACGGCCCCAGGAACGCCCAAGACGGCCCAAGAAATTTCCAAGAGGCCTCCAAGAGGGCTCCGAGATGCTGAAGATGGCCTCCAGACGTCCAAGGACGCCCCCAAGAGGCCCCAAGAAGCCTCCAACATGCGTCCCAAGAGGGCCCCTAGACGCAAAAATTGGCCCATTCCCTTCGTAAAACGTACATTTTCAACAAAGTTCTCTTTTGGGCTTTCCGACGTTACAGGACGGCCCAAGAGGCGCCCAAGACCGCCCCAAGACGGCCCAAGAAGCTTCCAAGAGGGCCCCAGGACAGCCCAAGAGGGCCCCAAGACGGCCCAAGAGGCGCCCAAGATGGCCCAAGAGGGCCCCAAGACGGGCCCAAGAGGGGGCCCAGAGGGGGACCACGAACCGCAAGCTCGAGCCTTCCGCCCCAAGAGGCCGCCAGGAGGCCCCCAGGAGGCCCCTCAAGAGGCCCCAGGAGACCCCAGACGTCCAAGGACGCCCCCAAGACCCCAAGAAGCCTCCAACATGCGTCCCAAGAGGGCCCCTAGACGCAAAAATTGACCCATTCCCTTCGTAAAACGTACATGTTTCACAAAGTCGCCTTTTGGGCTTTCCGACGTTACAGGACGGCCCAAGAGGCGCCCAAGACCGCCCCAAGACGGCCCAAGAAGCTTCCAAGAGGGCCCCAGGACAGCCCAAGAGGGCCCCACAGCGGCCCAAGAGGTGCCCAAGATGGCCCAAGAGGGCCCCGAAACGGGCCCAAGAGGGGGCCCAGAGGGGGACCACGAAGCGCAAGCTCGAGCCTTCCGCCCCAAGAGGCCGCCAGGAGGCCCCAAGGAGGCCCCTCAAGAGGCCCCAGGAGACCCCCAAGAGGCCCAAAGGAGGCCCCGAGAAGCCCCAAATCGGCCCCCAAAATGCTTCGAACCTGCTTCCAGGAGGCCCCCGACAGGTTCAGAGGCTCCCGAGAAGCTACGTCAAACTCCCAGCGAGCGGCCGGACGAGGCCCCCCACAAAATCACAAGAGGGTTCCAGTATTTGTATCCTTCAGCGCTCTCTGGCCTTCTTCCCCCTGCCCCCTTCCCTGCGACTTTCGTTGACTCAAGCTCGCCTCCTAGCTAGAACCTAAGCGCGCGCGAAGCGCGCGCGTGGTTCTAGTTAGATATCCCAGAATACGTCTGGAGGGGTGGGGGTGCCAGACGCAGCGGAG